AGTTCCTGTGTTACAAACAAGATAGGTTCTGGAGATCTGTTCTTAAATTGAATCTGTATTTAAATCAGAACAGGTTCATTATTTTAGTGTAGTTACAGACTATCTACTACGCATACATACATACACACACACACACATATGTACCAGCATTGGATAGTATAGGGAAGGGTTAGCAGTTCTGTAGTTTTTCTTTTGCTGTCTGTGCCCCTGTTCAGAGACGATTTCACCTCACTTTCTATCCCTATGAGAATTGGATTTTGAAAAATTGGCTTGTTGTGCAAACAATGGTGATACAGCTTCAGTGGAAACACTTTTTCTCCATGATAATTCCTTCAGGAGTGATTTTCCCTTCGGAGAGATAGAATTCTCTCACTTCCTGTTGTCTCACCCTCGTTCTTAACTAAATAAAATAAATAAACTTTATTTGTATTCTGCCACCATCTCCCCAAAGGGACTTGGGGCAGCTCACAAAAGCACTCAATAGTGCAATAACACAGAGAATACATTAGGTACATAAACATATAAAACAGAACAATAAACATTTTCACTCAAAGTTTATATAAAACAAACTATAAACTATCTATAAAACCCCTACTGATAAAAATTTCTTCAATAAAAGCACAACAAACTGTGGATACAGACAAACTGTATATAATGTTACTATGTGTTGTTTGTAAATTGCGTGTTTGTAACTCGAGGACTGCTTATATAGCTGAACCACATTCTGCATAGTCCACTGTAAACACTGCACAAGAAATTAGTGTAAACATTTAAAACTGCCACTGTGCAACAAGAAAATATTTATTATTGCTAAATTTTCCAGGGCCCCAACATTGAGCTAACAGGACTCACAGTTTAAAAAACAGTGCTGTAAAAAACATCTGCAATGGGGCATAGGAGTAGTAATCCCCTTTAATACAGCCTAGCAACCCTTACCTATGGAGCAAAAAAACCTATACATGAGTGCTGTCATATATTATGTGATGCACCAGCTAAAAAGTCAATGGGCTGCATCAAAAGGAATAAAGTATCTAGATTGAGGGAAATCATGGTGCCCCTCTATTCTGCTTTGGTCAAATCTCACCTGGAATACTGTGCCCAGTTCTGGGCACACAGATCAACAGAGATATTGACAAGCTGGAAGGTGTCCAAAAGAGGACAACTAAAATGATCAAAGGTCTGGAGACCATTGATCCCTATGAGGAGCATCTTAAAGAGCTGGGAATGTTTAGCCTACAGAAGAGAAGGGAGAGAGGAGACATGATAGCCATGTATAAATATTTGAAATGATTACATAAGGAAGAGGCAGCAGGCTTGTATTCTGCTGCCTTGGAAACTAGGACTCGGAGCAATGGGTTCAAATTCCAGGAAAAGAGATTCCACCTGAACATTAGGAAGAACTTCCTGACTGTAAAAGGTGTTCAGCAATGGAATTCTCTGCCTCGGAGTGTGATGGAAGCTCCTTCCCTGGAAACTTTTAAACAGAGGCTGGGTAGCCATCTGTCAGGGGAACTTTGGGGTTTTTACTGCATGGCAGGGGGTTGGACTAGGTGGCCCAGGAAGTCTCTTCCAACTCCATCGCTGTTCCTCGCTAAAGGGATAGGGACAGAAAATAGGTAAACAAGGAAGACGTGTACTTTCAGGTTAGATTCCCAAGATGAAGTAATCCAGACATCCTGTCCAGATTACTGTAACACACTGTATGTGGGGCTGCCTCTGAAGAGTGCTCAGAAACTTCAGTTCGTTCAAAGAGCTGCAGCCAGCTTGCTGACTGCGGCTGGCTACAGTTGGCGGACAACCCGCCTGTTGCAGCAGTTCTACTGGCTGCCAGTCTGTTTCCAGGTACAATTTAAAGTGCTGGTGATGACCTTTACAGCCCTAGATGGTTCAGGTTGAGGCTATTTGGCCAACTGCATCCCCTTGTATGAACCTGCCCATCCCTGAGATCTTCAGGAGAGGTCCTTCGCTTGGTTCCACCTCCATCTCAAGCTCAGTTGGTGAGAAAGAGAGTGGGCCTTCCTTCTTGGTGGCTGCCCCTCAACTCTGGAACTCCCTTTTCCCCAGGGAAGTCAGAACAGCCCTCTCCCTGCTGTCCTTCCGGCAGCAGGCGAAAACCTTTTTCTTCAGGCAGGCTTTTAAAGAAAGAAATGTTTTTAAGATCTAGTCAGAATATTGAATATGTTTTGATAGACTGTAACTGAATTGAAATTTTGTTTGTGTTTATTACCCACTTTACGTCCTGGTGTAGTTTGGGTGAGGATGATGGGATTTGCAGTACTCACTTTCACAGACCACTGCAACCCCTACAAATGACAGCCCTGGACCAAACTTAGGGTATAGACAACTTTGTGACCCACTTCATGTCCTGGTATAGTTTGGGGGACAATGGATTACGAATGATGGGCAGTTGGTAAATGTGTGTAAGGTGATATATTATATTCATTATTGGTTATTTATTATAAGCTTATATAGATGTTGTTTTATCTGTTTTGTCGATTGATATGTTGTTTGGGTTCTTGTAGGTTTTTCGGCCTATATGGCCATGTTCCAGAAGCATTCTCTCCTGACGTTTCACCTGCATCTACGGCAAGCATCCTCAGAGGTAGTGAGGTCTGAGGATGCTTGCCATAGATGCAGGCAAAACATCAGGAGAGAATGCTTCTGGAACATGGACATATAGCCCAAAAACCTACAAGAACCCAGTGATTCCAGCCACGAAAGCCTAATCTCCATGGAAGCAGTAAACAAGCTTGCTCCCTCCTCCCTGTGGCTTCCTCTCACATATTTATACATGGCTATCATATCTCCTCTCAGCCTTCTCTTCTTCAGGCTAAACATGCCAGCTCCTTAAGCTGCTCCTCATAGGGCTTGTTCTCCAGACCCTTGATCGTTTTAGTCGCCCTCCTCTCGACACATTCCAGCTTGTCAATATCTGTCTTGAATTGTGGTGCCCAGAATTGGACACAATATTCCAGGTGTGGTCTAACCAAAGCGGAGTAGAGGGGTAGCATTACTTCCCTAGATCTACACGAATACTCAATATGCCCAAATGTGAACACTGGTGGAGTTTGGGGAAAATAGAATATTGACATTTGGGAGTTGTAGTTGCTGGGATTTATAGTCCACCTGCAATCACAGAGCATTCTGAATCCCACCAACGAGAGAATTGGGCCAAACCTCCCATACAGAACCCCCATGTGGGCCACAGCAACGCGTGGCAGGGGACGGCTAGTAAATAATAATATCGGTTTGGGTTGGAGGACTGAGAAAGCATGGAACCAAGCCTAAAAGAAACCCAACACCTTCTTCCCATAGTTTTTAATCGTGTGCTCTTATTGTTAATGTTGCATTATTGTATTGTCCATGTTTATTTATTATTACTTGTATTGTTGTATTTGGGCTCGGCCTCATGTAAGCCGCACCGAGTCCCTTGGGGAGATGATAGCGGGGTACAAATAAAGTGTTATTATTATTATTCCTGCTCAAAAAGTGCATCGTTCTGGCAAATTGGACATTTCCCTATCATCCCTTGCTTCCCCTTTTCAGAGACATAGGGCCCTTCCCCACAGCCATATATCCCAGAATATCAAGGCAGAAAACCCCACAGTATCTGCTTTAAACTGGGTTATCTGAGTCCACACTGCCGTATATCACAGTTCAAAGCAGATAACGTGGGATTGAATAGAGCAGTGGTTCTCAACCTTCCAAAAGCCATGACCCCTTCATACAGTCCCTCATGTTGTGGTGACCCCCAACCATAACATTGTTTTTGTTGCTCCTTCATAACTGTCATTTTACTACTGTTATAAATCATAATGTAAATATCAGATATGCAAGATGTATTTTAATTCACTGGACCAAACTGGGCACAAATACCCAATGCACCCACATGTAAATGCTAGTGGGGTTGGGGGAGGATTGATTTTGTAATTTGGGAGTTGTAGTTGCTGGAATTTATAGTAACTTATAATCAAAGAGCATTCTGAACTTCACCAGCGATGGATTTGAACCTAATTTGCCACACAGAACTCCCATGACCAACGGAAAACACTGGAAGGGTTTGGTGGGCAGGGGTGGCTCAACCATTACGCAAAGTAAGCATTTGCAGTATAGTTGATTTTGCCCAGGGGCGCTCTTGAGGGAAAACAGACCTTGACCTATGCGAGTTGTAGTTACTAGGATGTATAGTTCACCTACAATCAAAGAGCATTCTGAACTCCACCAATGATGGAATTGAACCAAATATGGCACACAGAACTCCCACGACGAACAGAAAATATATATCAGTGATTGGTGGTGGTGTGCCAAAATACTGATGGCTTACCATTGAAAATTACCTAGGGCCGCCTCTGTTGGTGGGTATTGACTTTGAGTTTGGGAGTTGTAGTTCACCTATATTAAGAGAGCACTGTGGACTCACGCAATGGTGGATCTGGACCAAACTTGACACAAATACTCAATATGTGCAGATGTGAACACTGGTGGAGCCTGGGGGAAATAGACCTTGACTTTTGGGAGTTGTAGTTGCTGGGATTTATAGTTCATTAAAATCAAAGAACATTCTGAACTCCACCAACGATAGAATTGGCTCAGACTTCCCACATGGAATCCCCATGACCATCAGAAAATACTGTGTTTTCTGATGGTCTTTGGCGACCCCTCTGACACCCCCTCGCGACCCCCCCAGGGGTCCCGACCCCCAAGTTGAGAAACACTGGTATAGAGCTGTGTGGAAGGGGCCCAAGGCAAAGGCGGAGCAACCGCTCCCCACTCCTGGCTTCCCCTTTGGCCCCACTCCCAGCCGGACCTTCTGCTTCGAAGCCACAGAGCCAGTCCTGCCACTCCTGAGGGGAGTAGGCCTCTTCCAGGGGACTCACTCTGGGGGGAGCTGGAGGCGGGGGGGGCGTCCCCGTTGCCATGGAGAAAGTGGAAGGAGGGAGGCCTGCGCCGCTTCCGTCTTCCTGGCCTCGAAGGGTCTCCTGTGGGAAAGCCCGCCTTACCTTGCTGTGCCTCCGAAACCCGAGGGCGGCGGGAGGGCGAGCCTTCTCCTAAAGCGGGGCCGGACATGGCAACGGCCCTCAGGGCGAGTCCATCTCTCTCTCTCTCTCTCTCTGCCCTCCCCCGCTTCCTTCCTTCCTTGGTCTCGCCCGGCTCAGGCGCCCGACTCAGCCCACCGCTTCCCGGCATGCAACGCAAGCTCAAGGCTGCCCTCTCCGCCACATCCTCGGCGGGCGCGCGGACGTCGCTTCCGGCAGCGGCGCGCGGGCTTGGTCGGCGGAAGGTTCACGCCCTCGCCCAGCTGCTCGCCGCCACGGCGTCAACTTCCGCTTCCGGGATGTTTCCGCACACACACCCCGCCCCCTAGTGGACAGAGAGAGGAACCACGCTCGCCTTTTCACGTCTAGATTTTGAGGTTCCTTCAAGTTAGCGCAGACTACTTCAGTCAGAGAAGTCAGCCATAGCAGAGCACCTGATGAACCAACCTGGACACAGCATATTATTCGAGAACACAGAAATGCTGGACCACTCTCACAACCACCATGTCAGACTTTCAAGTTTACAAATTCAAGAAGTCATCAATTCAACAACTTCCCTCCTAGAGTTTTAGATATATCAAATGCATTATCTGCTTTAGAAAGAACCAAAGTACAGACTATAGCCAACAAAGGGAAATGTATTCACTGAATTGTCACCATCATGGAACCATATGGAACTATACAAAGAAGCCATTGAAATCCATAAGCCTTTGGACAATTTCAACAGAAAGGAGGAAACCATGAAAATGAACAAAATCTGGCTACCAGTATTAAAAAAACTCTAAAAATAGAACAGCACAACAACAGAGAGGAAACAAACAAGGACATCTAATCACCTCTCAACAAAAGATTGCTCCAGGCACTGCCAGGCAATCAAATGCTAATCAAGGTGGTCAGTTGAAACATTCACACCTAGCTCCAGCAGACAAGAGTCCTTTGTCCCACCCTGGTCATTCCACAGATATATAAACATTTTCCTAGTTTCCAGATCCATCATTGTTTGAGTCCACGTGATCTCTGGGATGTAGGTGAACTACAACTCCCAAACTCAAGGTCAATGCCCACCAAACCCTCGCAGTATTTTGTGTTGGTCATGGGAGATTCTGTGTGCCAAGTTTGGTTCAATTCCATCGTTGGTAGAGTTCAGAATGCTCTTTGATTGTAAGTGAACTATAAATCCCAGCAATTACAACTCCCAAATGACAAAATCAATTTTTTTGAGTGAAGGACATACATTGGGTTGTTAGGTGCATGCTGTCCAAATTTGGTGTCAATTCCTCCAGTGGTTTTTCAGTTCTGTTAATCCCACAAATGAACATTGCATTTTGATTTATATAGGCAATCCCTCGTTCTCCGAGTAGGATCAGTGTACTGGTGGGTCCGTAGGTGACTGTGGAGCCCAATTCTTGATCGCCATCGTCTCCCGTAGTGAGGGCATCGGTTTCCAGGTGGAAGGCAGTCCCCGTCGGAGTTGGCTTGACGCACCTTCCTCTTGGCACGTTTCTCTCTTTCGCCCTCCATTTGTGCCTCTTCAAATTCTGCTGCACTGCTGGTCACAGCTGACCTCCAGCTGGAGCGCTCAAGGGCTTCCCAGTTCTCAGTGCCTATGCCAGAGTTTTTAAGGTTGGCTTTGAGCCCCACTTTAAATCTCTTTTCCTGTCCACCAACATTCCGTTTTCCGTTCTTGAGTTTGGAATAGAGATCTGCTTTGGGAGATGGTGGTTGGGCATCCGGGCAACGTGGCTGGTCCAGCGGAGTTGATGGCGGAGGACCATCACTTCAATGCTGGTGGTCTTTGCTTCTTCCAGCACGCTGACGTTTGTCCGCCTGTCTTCCAAGAGATTTACAGGATTTTCCGGAGGCAGTGCGGATGGAATCGTTCCAGGAGTTGCATGTGATGTCTGTAGACAGTCTTGCAGACATATAGCAGGGTTGGGAGGACTGAAATCCACAAGCATGTGGACAATTTCAACAGAAAGGAGGAGATCATAAACATAAACAAAATCTGGCTACCAGTATTTAAAAACTCCAAAATCAGGACAGTAAATAAAGAGAAATACTCAAAAACAGGGGAATTCCAGACAAGAAATAATCAGGGCCAGCTAACACCTCCCAACAAAATATTCTTAAGGGTCCATCTCACCCTGGATATTATTTTTTTTAATTGTTACCATCTGGTAGACAGTATAGGATTATAAAAACAAAGACAAATAGGCTGAGAGGTAGTTTTTACCTTAGAGCTGTGACTATATTGAACTCTGAGCTTTCACACTGATGTGGCATTGGGGATTGTGTAGTAGTGATTAGAATGTGGAAGAATTGATGCTTTATTTGTAATGTGTGCACATATAATGTGATGCAGATGGCATTTAATTTTGTTGGACGATGTACAATTACAATAAAGGATACTGTTCCATTATCCGGGCGGAGACCACAAAGGAGCGCTAGAGTGAGGATAGTCCATTTTACGGGGGTGGAGGGTGGATTGAAGGAGGAAAATCATTTCCCCCTGTTTTCCTGTTATTCCCCCCCACAACCACCACCCATGCCCCTGTCATTGAAACAGCCCTCCTTTATGATATGGGGAGAGGGGGAATAACTTGTGAAAATGGTGGAATGGTTTTCCTCTTTCAACTCCCTCCCCCCTAAAATAAACTATTCCTCTCTCTCTCTCTCTCTCTCTCTCTCTCTCGCTCTCTAACGCCCCCTTGTGGCCTCAGCCTGGATAATAAAACATCACCCTGTAAACTTATTCTATTCTAAAGTAATTTACGAGGCAAATATTTAGTGAGATAAAGAGATTTGATAAGCTTTATACTCGTTTTACAGAATGCTTTAAATCAAGCCTACACAGCCTATGGCCCTCCAGGTGTTTTGAACTTCAGATCCCAGAATCCCTGACCACTGGACAAGTTGGCTAGGGCTTCTGGGAGCTGGAGTTCCAAACACCTGGAAGGCCACAGGCTGTGCAAGCCTTTTGTAAATGGATAGTTAATTTGGTTGATGGGCTATTATTCATTTATTATTTAAGACACAATATGTTGTTACTCACAATCTTGCTGTTTTTAACAGACTAACCTATTTGTCCTGCTTCTTGGCAGGGGGTTGGACTGGATGGCCCATGAGGCCTCTTCCAACTCTATGATTTTATGAATTTGGCTTTAATGGACCGTTTAAATACTAGACACGTCTGTCACAGACATGTCCTCCATGAAGAATGTTGAAGGACATTTTATGCAAAGAGACATTTTGAGTCAGGACATTTTGGGTGATTGTGAAATGTCCCATAGATAGGTTGGGCATTGGTACAAATACAGGAAAACTTTACTCCTGGTGCAAATTGTGTGGCCACTGTAACTTCTACAGCATTATGCCCACATTTACATGCAAAAAAGAGTCATGCAGTAACTAGGCATTACTGGTATTCAAACAAGCTTGTGTGCCTCATAGACAAAGGATTATGATAATAAACTACCAGATGATAATATAAGTTAGGGTTCCTGCTTATTAAAATGTTGTTACTGGGTAAACCCGCAAATGTTTGAAATAATGATGACTGTTCTCATACTATAAAGCCACAAGATGGCAACCTAAGTCTAAATGTATCCTGTAAGAAAGAAGAGAGTTGTGTTGTAAGCTAGAGGCAATAAATATTATTGCACAGAACTACAACCTGTCTGCATGAATAACAGAACTCTTAAGTAAAGGGGAAAACCCAGCAAAGATTCATATGATTTGTTACTAGACGTTGCAATAGCTCTTCCCAGCTCTGCTTAGTTGTGCAAGGACAGGTGATAATATCATGAGATATGCCAAGGAAAGTTGTATATGATGCCCTATAGCTGAGTGTGTTGGCAGCAATCCATAGGTGTGTCGCGTGAACATAATAAGAGATTGCAAACATATTGGAAATATATGTTACTATTTTGAAAATCATCTATTTTTTAAAAAAAAACATAAATTAAAGGTTTTCATGACATATACTGTGTCCCCATACATTTCGTTATTGTAATTTATGTATGTGACTGTATCTCTAATGAGGGATTTGTTTAGCCTCCAGTTTGTTAGTAAAACCAAATTTGTCATGAAATGATATGTGTCTGAAAAGCATATCACCAATGTGTCCCAGTCCATTGTTGGTAGGGGCTACAGTATCTCTGGATACAGGTTTACTACAACACCCCAAAATCAAGGTCAATTCCCTCCAAACAATTCCAGTATATTTAGTTGGTCAGGGGGCTTCTCTGTGCCATGTTTAGCCCAGGTACTGCAAATCCCATCTGAGAAGAATGAATGCCATCTGTGCTGTCGCACGCTGGGCCTGTGCATCAGACTGTAGACAGGACATAAATTCCGTGTGCCCAACGGGACGCCAGGGCTGCCTCAGATTAAAGGCCCTTGGATTTCCTTAAAACACAGTCTTTAGAATGCTTAAAGGTTCAACAAAGTTCTTTATTGATGAAAACAAACAGGTACTTTAAAGCTTTCTTAACAGTCTATTGGCTCTCTCAATCTTGTCCACAGGGAACAGGCACTATCTTCATAACTGTATACTAACTAATGGGGAAATCCTTAACTTCTAATCTGGGCAGTCTTTCTTTGCCTCTGTTGGCGTGGAGCCCCTACACCAACTGCTTCTGGCTTCCGCGAGAGACCCTTACCAAGCAGAGCTTTGTAGACTTCCAGGGGAAAAGAATTCAGGCTTCCGTGATGGCTGACTGAAGTCCTTCAGCAAAGGAGTTGTAGGGATGTATAATCCTTGGCCAAGCTGTGGGCTGTATATCTCCCCAGCCAAGCCGTAGAAGACGAAGCTTTCTACAGGAGCTCTTGGTATTATGTCCTGCATGGAAAGCTGCTCTGTGTGGACTGAACCAAAAAGGCTCCTATTCCCTCCAAAAACCACAAAAGGGGGCAGGACCAGGGAACCTAACTATAATTGACAGGTGGCTTGCCCTATGATTGCAGCCAAAAGAAGCCACCTATCTGCAGAGTCCCTGAAACGTAGGACTATAACAAACATTCAATGCAAAGCAAACAAAATTGGAGCTCCTGGTACAGCTGTACCTGCACACCATCATATTACAGAAGTGACCATTTTGCCCATTACATCTAAATTCTTCCCCAAAAATCCACTTCCCAACTAGCTCCTGAAAAGAAAGCAGTTCCCAATGCTTTAGACACAGAAAAAATGCTGTACCCCACACTTGAGCCCAACAGAATGTTACGATGGAATACGATCTATAGTCTGA